CACACACACACACACACACACAACTCTTTACTGAAACAAACCACCTGTTATGTAGAACTGGCTTTATGCTGAACAATGAAAAAAACTTCTTGTTTAGGATTTAGAGAACCTTATAAAGAAACCGTCATTAAAAAGCCAAAGAATATTTATTGAATGCAAGTGTTTTGAGGCACCTTCTGTATCATCTTAAGACTTTCAGGGTACACTGGCCCTTAAGGACTAACTGTACCCCCTGATCTTGACCCTCAGTGCACATAAGTCTCATTGATCCTTTATCCTTCTCTGCTGTGGCCACGTCCTTGAATCATTTATGGGACATGGTGGTGCTGATGTGTGCCATCTAGTCAGTCCCTACTCATACGGTTTTCAAGGCTATAAATTGTCATGGGAGCGGACAGCCTCACCTTTCTCCTGTCCGGGACATAGTGAAAGGATGATAAAGTGTGATAAAGATGGGTCAGCAGGTGAGGGAGGCATCATAATGCCCACACAAACAAAGAGAAAATGGAAAACCCAGTACTTCTCTGAGAAAGACACCAAGAGACCATAGAAACAATGTTATTCAGATCTTCTTCACTCCCTTCATTTGGATGGAATCATATGTGACCAAAAACCAGTTCTGTGCCTGAATCTTGCAATGATAATTTGCTGTCAAGGTGTTTTGTTTTAAAGCTAGGAGATAAGATTTGTCAGGCTGTGGTTCTTATCATAAAGATTTCCCCAGCCCAAACCCATAAAAGGACTCCTGGTGTGGCGCTGTCGAGTCAGCACTGGACTTCGAACCACAAGACTCGCAGTTCAAACTCACTGCTCCTAGGAAATACAGGGTCGCTATGAGTCAGAACCGACTTGACGGCACTTAACAACAACAACCCATAAATATGACTGTCTTTGTTCTTGAGAAAGTAGCAGTGAAGTCTTTATAAAATGATTTGGTATACTCTCTTTTCTGAGGGGAAATTGTCAAAGGTGACCAAGGTACAGACTTATGGGAGTTGTAGGTCTTCCCAGCTTCCCCTCCATAAGAACAGTCACCTTCGTTCCCCTGAATCCATGACTCCTTAACCCAGTGGCTTGGAAACCCCTGACTGATGCATATTTGCCTATGCTCGGCACTTTCTGTGTCTGCAGCTCTAGTAAGTGCAAGAGCACACCTAATCCACGACTCTGACTTGTTAGTCATGAGATCACGTGGAACATAGTGAGCACTTGTAGAAAAGGAGGCTCTAGCACCACCTAGGCCGTATCTGCTCCATCAAGAAGAGTGGCAGTAGGAAAGGCCTGGGCACTCAGCTAAACGTTCAGCAACCGTTGTTGCTGTGAAGTGAGGCTGAGTCAGTGCCAACTCATGGCGACCCTGTATAGGGTTTCCGAGGAGCAGCTGGTGAGCTTGAACCACCGACCTTGTGGTTCAAACTGACCTTGCAGTCAAGTGTTTATCCTACAGAGACACACCAGAAGTCCTATCTCCCCACAGCGTGGTCTAAATAATATTGGTGCCTTTCTTAGTCTCTGTTGTGGAGTCTGAGTCCGACATGTTTGATTGGACCTTTCCACATTCTATGTTAGCATCCTATTTTAGAGGGGTGTGCCAGATTGAATGTAATTTTCACAAAAATGTTTTTTCTGTCTTTTCTACTTTAATCAATTCTGACAACAGAGGGTGTTAGGATCCCATACTACATTGCCACTTTGAGGTATGAGATCTGACTTCTTCAAACTAGTCTCATGTTCAGGAAAGCATAATTAATCATTTTCTACTAAATTCCCTCCCCAACATAGGCCTTTCTGATGTAGAAACAGAAATACAGTAGATATTTGAGGGAGTCTGGCTGAATTTGAAGGAGTTGGGGATGTTTTTATTAGCATCTAAATATACAGATGGATGCCTTTGTACTTGGGTTGCATTATTTAGCAGAGGAAAAGCTGAATACAATTGATTTTACTCCATGCCTCAGCAAATGCCACATTCAGTTTGGGTCCTAGCAGAAGAGAACACTGTGATCTGAACACAACTTGAGAGCCCAGTGAGTAAACACATGGCTCCGACCCCCAGCCCCAGATCCCATTAGCTGCAGGACTGTAGGGCAAGCTAACCTCTCCATGTCCTCTTTTGCTCATGTGTAAAATGGTATTTCTGGTAGCGTAGTGGTTACGAATCGGGCTGCAAACCGCAAGGTCAGCAGTTCGAAACTACCAGCTGTTCCGCGTGAGAAAGGTGAGGCTTTCTGCTACTGTAAAGATTTACAGCCTCGGAAACCCTATACAGGGTCGCTATGAGTCGGAACCGACTCCACGGCACATAACAACAACAACAACAAAATGGTATGGAGGTGACACTGCATACCTCACAGTGTTGAGAGGGTTAAACAAACTACTCTACCAAATACTTAGAGGAATCCCAGCACATGGACACATACGAGTATTATATAATTACTGTATAAAGACAACTAAAGACTCTCATAACCTTTTGTTCACTGTCTTGAAGATACTTTAACCAGCAAGTTTTATGATTAATTACATTATACTATTAAGCACAAACATAGACTCTATGTTTGAATTTACATGTGTTACTTTTCCAGTTATGGGATTCACCATTGAAATCTTGCTATTTTCTGATTATAGTATTCATTTTTTTTCATACAATTGTACCTTTTAATATTTCTATGAATAACAAAAATACTTAAATTCTTTGTATTCTAAAGTCTTTGAGAGTTTGGTTATGAAAAGAAACCAACAGAATGTAAGAAGTACAAAAGAATATTTAATATTCCTATAGACTTGTCTTTAACATGCTATTTTGAAGGTGCCCTGGCGGCTGAACGACTAAGATCTCAGCTGCTAAACCAAAGAGCTGGTAGTTAGAACCCACCAGCAGCTCTGTGGGAAAAAGATGAGGAAACCCGCGGGGGGCTTCTATTCTGTCCTCTAGGGTAGTGATGAGTCTATGGCACCCAGCAACCTGCTATTTTAGTTCATGGGATAAGATTTTAATCTCTATTTCTCATTCAGAATGTGGGTGTGCAATCCTATTTTGCCATCCTTGCAGGATGTTTTTTAAGCTTCAGATCACATGATTCCCATGAATTACATTGACACCTGAGTGATGCTTGGCAAAATTAAGACTTACTGAATTCTTCATCTGAAATACCCAGCATTGGCTCATAGACATTGCCTTAAAGCAAGTGTTACTTCCTTTTCTCATTAGATTTGTATATTACGTTTAAAAATAAATTAATGATTTGTAGGTACTTTTTTGTAATCTGTAGCATTAACTATTTTTTATTGAAATGTAATGAAGAAGACTGTTATGAAATCAAGTTTAGTTAAAGACTTTTGAGCAGCTTTAGAATAATTCTACTGAAGAGTAAATGATTAAAATCATCATTTTACCTTACTTTCTTTTCACTTGAAACAGGAGATCAGTGCAGTTAACTATTCAACTATCCGAGCCTCCAATTTTGGAACAAACAAGATGACGCGTATCAACATACCTGGGTGGAACACAAATGGCAAATGGCAGAGACACATATGCAATGTACGATGTGAATACAGTCTTCTTTACACTAACATGAAAGTTTTATGTTAACATGAGTGTACTTTGCATGACACTAATCATATTGGCACTGTGGGTTATTGCAATGGACTTCAAAGTCAGTTTAAACTACAAGGTCGGTGGCTCAAGCTCACCAGACACTCCTCAGGGTCATTAGGGATCAGAATCGGCTCCATGGCACTTAACAACAACAACAGTAATATTCATGGAGTCCTGGTGTGGCGCTGTGGACTAATGACCTGGACTGCAAGGTCAACAGCCGCTCGTCGGAAACCCTATACCGGGTCATTGTGAGTTGGAACCGACTCGATGGCATTTAACTACAATTTATCGTATTCATGGGAACCCTCTACTCAGTTATTCATATTATCCATGTTTGAGCCTAAACTGAATTACCAAGTTTCCACTAATTTCCATTTTTTATGAATTGTATAGAATCTATTGGTTGCAGATTTTCATAATAAGTTTTGATAAATTCATACCTTTAACAAAGGATAAAATGGTATGATCAATTTCACATAGAAAAATTTCAAGTTAATTCCCTGAAATTAATTTTCCTCTCATATTTTCAAGGCTTACATGGTATTGGTTGTGGTGGTTATGTGTCATTGCGTTGGTTTGGACTCACAGCAATCCTGTATATGGTTTCTGAGGCTATAAATCTTTACGGGAGCAGCAAACCTCGTTTTTTCTCCAGCTGTGTAACTGGTAGATTTGAACTGCTGACCTTGCAGTTAACAGCACAGCCCATAATCCATTATGCTTCCAGGGCTCCTGATGGATAACGTGGTGGTGGTGGTGGGCCATGCAGTCGGTTCCGACTCATAGTGACTATGTGTAGGGTTTCCGAGGCTGTAAATCTTTACAGGAGCAGAAAGCCTCATCTTTCTCCCACAGAAGAGACACAGTAAGCAATTAATTATCTGTAAGACCATACAGCTTAGTGAAGTCAGCTGTCTGAACTCATGCCCTGGTTCTCCTACTTAAACAATCTCTGGGATCTTTGACAAGTTAACTTAACCAATATGTGCCTCAGTTTATTTATTGGCAAATTGAAGACAGTAATTGTACCTATTTCACAAGAGTAGTTGTGAATGTTAATTAAGTTAATATACATGAAAAGGTTAGAAAATTGCCTAACGTATTAAAGTTTCATTAAATATCAGATAATGTTAGCACTGTAGGATATGCACTTGACCTCAAGGTTTGAACTGCAAGGTCGGCGGTTCCAATCCACCAGCTGCTCCTTGGAAACTCTATACCTATGAGTGAGAACCGACTAGACAGCATGCATCAACAATTAATCAAGTGTTATTTCTTGGAGTCCTGGTGTAGTACTGTAGGATTGCTCTAGACTGCTAACCTCAAGGTTGGTAGTTCAAACCCACCAGCTACTGCTCAGAAACCCTGTACCAAGTTGCTCTTAACCCTGTACTGGATGGCTCTTAACAGTAACAGCAACAGTGTTATTTTGTATTATGAATTCAACATCTGAAAACTATTTTTTTTAAAGCCCTCCTTTATTGAATCCTTGATCTATATGCTCTGATTCTGTATCTCTTTCTACCAGACACTGCTCCAAGTGGAAGATGTGAACTGTATCAATCTAGACTGGCTCAACGGATCACTGGAATACAACCACGCTGTAAACAATCTCCCTGTGGTCAGTGCTGAGGTGGCTTATTTTGTTGATATTCTGAGGGTAAGAAGAATTTGTATTTTTACTTAAAAGATGTGTAACTGGCTTTGAATTGTAACATGCAGAATTTTTGGCAATTTTATATTCTTTGTATCAGCATAGACAAGTACTGAACAAGTGAAATATTCAGCAGAGCGAAGGAGCCCCCTACTTCCACTGAAAGTGTCTGTGCCCAAACAAATCACCACTAGATGGCGGTGTCTCTTCAGAGGCTCATTACCAAAATGTCCCCCCAAGGACTGTGGTCTTGGTCCTCAAGTACAACCATTTTGATAAATTTTCATCACACTACAAACCTAGCTTTAGGATTACAAACTGTTCCCATCTTATAGATGCTATTTCTTTAAAATGAGAAATGAAATTTCTCACTGAAACAAGGGGTCAGCTGAGACTGATGGCACCGTGGTTAATCACTCAGCTACTAACCAAAAGGCCAATCCATTCAAACCCACTAGCCACTCCATGAGAGAAAAATATAACAGTCTGCTTCCATAAACATACTTATTTAAAGACTTGGAAACCCTAGAGGGCAGTTCTCTGTTCTATAAGGTCGCTATATTGACTCAACAGTGGTGGGTTTTCACAGGCCAACCCACAAACTATTTAACCTCTACATATTCTGTAAGAATCAAGTTGAGCTTTGTTCTTTATGAGGGAGACACCCTGAGACACTTACAAGTCTCCAAATGCTTTACCATTATAGCAAATCATTCCCCACTGTTCAGTGGCCTTTCCAGATGTCCGAGGAGAGCTTGCTGTGGGCAGCACTGGGGATACTGCTCTGAGCAGGACGGTGTCCCTGCGCCCACAGAGCATGAACTCAGATGCAAACACGTGAGGAAATTAACTAGACATTATCAGTCGTGATGGTGCTGTGAAGAAAATCCAACACAATGGGAGGAGGGCAGCAGAAGGGAACCTAGGTGGAAGGCCTCTCTGAGGGGGTGAAGTCTGAACCCTGGCTAGTATGAAGTTTTTCCTGGTTGTAAGCAGCCTGGAGAACGAACACTCATCCAGCTCCCTCCTCTTCTCCTCTTCCTCTTCTGTGGGAGCCAGACTGAAGAAGAATCAGCCAAAGAAATGGCTGTGAGTCTCATCCCTGCCTCAATCTGTCATCTCAACACAGCTAATTAGGCACTGCATTAACTCACCTGGATGAAGTTGCTGAAAAGGAGAAGGATAAAAGAGAAGGCAGTCCCAGAGCCCATCTCAGACACCTGCCTATACGGGAGCTAGGAAAGAAAGCAGAGATACAAAATGATCGAATCTGCAGCTCGTAGCCATGCCTGGGTAAGCACACTGAACAAACCATTGTCTTAGAGTCCATGTCAACTCACAGTCACCCTACAGGACACGGTCACCCTACAGGACAGGAGCACCCTATAGGACAGGGTAGAACTGTCCCATTCGGTTTCCAAGGCTATAAATCTTTACGGGAGCAGGTTGCCATATCTTTCTTCTATGGGTTTGATCCACTGACCTTTTGGTTAGCAGCTGAGTGTTTGACCACTGTACCGCCATTCATATATATAAATGAGAAAGAAATATATAGGTTTTATAAAGCAATGTATAATACTGTCATAGCTAGTGGGGGAAAATGGAATTTGATCAAATGATAAATGTACACGAGTGAAGGCAATTGCTTGATTTTCACTATTGTGAAGACAGCCTGAAGCTTTAATGGAAAAAAATTTTTTTTAAATCTTGTTCATTTGTTTCCCATGAATTTGGTTAGTATTTCGGTTTTGGTTTTGCTCTTTTGAATTTTCAGCTTATGAATATTCTTCAGAATGCATCCTTTTAGACCAGAGTCATCGCAGACATTTCCTAAAGCTGTCATAGTTTGGGGGACCACGCATGGTGTGTGCTTCCTTTTGGGCATGTGTTAGAAGGGTTGGTCCTCAGGGTAGATGGGCACAGGCTTAATGCCACAGATAGTACTGGACATCCCGCTGCCCTGAGGACTATGAGGCCCCTGAACACAGGAGAAGCACAGTCCAGGGTTGGGGGCGGCATTACTCTGGCCTTCCTGCAATCAGACAAAGATGTAGGTGGCAGGGGGTGTCGCTTTACCAGTTCCCAGCTTGTGTGTGAAAGAGAGCACCATCCCAGCTCTCTCGTCCTCTTTTTCTAAAGCATTTTAACCCACTGCCTGCTCTGCTAAGAATGCTTCTTCTGTTTCCCTTTACAAACTTCTGTCAGACAAAATTTGGATATCCCCCATCTAAAGTGCACTTGATTGGCCACAGCTTGGGAGCACATCTGGCAGGGGACGCTGGGGCAAGGATCCCCGGCCTCGGAAGAATAACTGGTAAGCATGCCCTAAGGTAGGCCTTGCATTTGTTTACAAGTTGTGTTTATACATAATATCAAATACCTGAATGTTGTTGTTGTTGTTAGGTGCCATCAAGTTGGTACTGACTCATAGCAATCTTATGTACAACAGAGCAACTCATAGTGACCCTATGTACACGTGTCCGGTCCTGGGCCAACCTCACAAGTGTTACTTGAGCCCATTGATGCTGCTACTTTGCCAAGCCATAGGAGGCAGCTCTTGCCCAGTCGCATTTTGAGTGCCTTCCAACATGAGGGGCTCATTTTCTGGTACTATATCTGACAGTGTTTCTCTGCTATTCATAAGGTTTTCAGTGACTAAATATTCGGAAGTAGTTCATCTCTCCTTCTTCCTAGTCTGTCGGAAGTTCACCTAAAACTTGTCCACCATGGGTGACCCTGCTGGTATTTAAAATACCTATGGCATAGCTTCATGTTGTTGTTGTTAAGTGCTGTCAAGTTGGTTCCGACCCATAGCGACCCTGTGTAGTGTTTCTGAGGAGCAACTGGTGAGCTTGAACCACCAGCCCTGAAGTTCAAACGGCTTTGCAGTCTGGCGCATTAACCCACAGTGCCATTAGCTTCATAGTCGTCACCAAATGAACTAGCAGAAGCCAATGTGAGAGTCATCTAAAGTAAATCCTGGAAGTGTTTGTAAAATGTGACTGTGCGGATACATGTTCAAGAGTGCCTATGCAGACGGTCTGTGATGGAGAACGGAAGCAGGGCTCCTGTAGGGGCAGGTTGAATGAATGATGGCACATTCCAAGCTTTGACATCAACCCCAAACCAAACCCACTGCTGTTGACTCCATTCCAACTCCTGTGGTTGTTGTTGTTGGGTGCTTCTAGAAGTGCCCCAGAGTTTCCACAGGTGTCATCTTTACGGAAACTGACGGCCACATCTTTCGCAGGTGGGGTTTGAACCATTGACATTCTGGTTAGTGCTGAGAACTTCTACTACCAGAGCTCCTTTGCTTTGGAAATAGCAAACCTTGAAACCGCTCCTCAGAAACTCTATACAGAGTTGCTATGAGTTGAACCATGTACAACATCCATTGGATGGCACTTAACAACAACAACAACAATACAAAGAACAAGTCAGATCTCTACTGACTATCTTAGAAGGTGAAGTTTTTCCTGGTGGTAAGCAGCCTGGAGAATGAATTAGGGAACAGAACACTCATCCAGCCCCCTCCTCTTCTCTGTGCATGAGTGTTGCTAACCTGGTTTATTTACAGCCAATGTCCATGTCTTCCCGGTTATTAAAGTTCTGAATATTACTCGTGGCTATACTATTAAGTCTAGAAATAAGTTGCATAGTAAAGCATACATAAATTGATTTTGAAGATGAACATTAAGCATTGCCTTTTCTACCCACTGACTTCCAATCCAATTCAGTCAGATGGGTGGGGAACAAAACATCAGTTCCATTACCTGCAAACTGGGCTGGCCTCTCCTTCCACAGCCTCTGCTGCCAGTCAGTCAGCAAACTCCACATCTCCTTTTTTCCTTCTTCTTCACTTAATGAATACTTCTATTGAACACCTATGTGAACCAAGTGCAAACCCCTAAACAGCTCAAAGTAAAGGCTTCAGAAGATAGCAGACGACAAGCAGGCTACCAAGAAAGCAGAGAGACAGTTGTAATGGGCAGAGGGAATCCACTGGACCATTGAAATTAGAACACTGAAGAACAAAATATTGAACTCATGGTTGGGATCACAGAGACAAACAGCACACAGCTGCAGGCTAGGTCTTGCTGAATGACAAAGATTGGGGCTTATCAGTCTGTACCTCTCCAGCATCATCACACTGCCCAGGAAGTGTTGTTGTTGGGTGCCACCAGATAGATTCTAACTCATAGTGACCCTGTTGTGCACAACAAAATGAAACACTGCCCACTCTTGTGCCGTCCTGACAACTGTTCTGTTTGAGTCCATGGTGTTTGTCACTGTGTCCATCTTCTTTAGGGTCTCCCTCTGTTTCGCTGACCCTCCACTTTACCAAGCATGATGGCCTTCTCCAGGGACTGGTCCCTCCAAACTCCACATCTTTTGCATCTGTTTTGTGCCTCTCCATCCCCTGGCCCACTAGCTGAGCTCCTGGTGGACTTTGGCTTGGCCCCCAGCTGATCCCAGCCTAGCCTGTCTCTCTGCAAGTCTTCTCTCACAGCAAGGCCCTTCCAAAGACAGGTTTAAGAGTTCTCATGACTCCTTAGCTGGTTGTACGGTTTCCTCACGTTTCGCCGCATTTGTTCATGTTTCTGGGTCTGTGCATACACAGTTGCTTCTTAAAGCATTTCCTCTTTGTCCTTTAAGATTCATGGTGAATGGGCCATTCACAGGCAGAGTTCATGCCTTGGGCTCCCCTCATTCCTTGCCTGGTACCTTTTGTTTGATTCACAAAGATAAATATCACATCACCTGTGGTCTCATCATTGCCTATTATTTTCAGTAGGCCATGAACTACTCCAGATCCTCCCTTACCCCATGCTCACCTGGGCCTGGAACATAGCTATTATTGGTGTTGTTGTTAGGTGCCATGAAGTCTGTTCCAACACTGCCCAGTGCGGCACCAGCCTCACAGTCATTGCTGGGTTTGAGCCCCTCCTTGTAACCACTGTGTCAATCCGTTCTCTCTTTCTCTGACCCTCTACTTTACTATATGACACGTAGTAGGTGCACATTGTCCTTTTCTCAAATCAATTATCTGAAGAGATTGCTTTACTGTCACAATTTCAACTTGGAATATGTTTTCTTATAATATCTAATAGTAATTCAAATGAGATTAATGTATTTTACCTCTGCCATCTGATGATGGAACAGGCTTTTTCTGCTGAAAATGCCCTCTTTCTCCTGGCTCTTTGCTCCCAATCCTTCATAATTCTTATTCGTTGTTGGTGTTGTGTGCCGTCGAGTTGGTTCCAACTCATAGTGACCCGATCGGTATAGGGTTTCTGAGAGTGGCTGGTGGCCTTGAACCACTAACCTTGTGGTTACCAGTCCAGTGCTTATCCTCCAGTGCCACACCATTTAGGAAAAGAAAATTATATTTTTGCTTTGGAGTT